GTACATTTTGGCATCCACGGCCGCGTATCCTGTGGTTCGTTATTCCAATCTTCAGAGACTGGGGACGGCACGCGAAGAGACCGCAGAAGGCCAAGAAAACCAGTGAGTACTTGGACATTCCTCCCAGTCATGCCGATACAGTCCTGCCGATAGAGATTGGACGACCATGACGCCCTTGAGCTGCCATGTTATGGGCACCCAATTGCCGAGACGCTCAGCTTCCTCCACACAACGAGGAACACAATGAGCATGAAACGATTCCGTACAGAGTTAAGCGAGTGGCATTGCCGCCATTCCCGCGGAAGTATGTGTACGATTTAGATCGTCAGCTGACAGATCTGCAAGAGCCATGGACTTCGTGCCTAGGCTCTTGGCCCAGTCCTTGAATTCAGCCGTGCGGGAGCGTTCAGGGACATGACGTTCCACCATTCCCACAACTGTGTCCTTCAAGGTGTCTATGTACTTCTTGACCTTCCGCCCCAACGTCGACGGGTTGGCGAAGAGGACGGAGCCCGTGGGCCTCTCGGCCCAACGACTCCTCCTTCGGTGCGGACCGCCCGTCCCGCGATGGCGACAGGCGTGGTGCTGGATGCCCTGGCAGTCTCGTTGGTGAGCTCTTCGACCGACTGTCGGGCCCTCGCGCGACGTTTGGCGTCTGGGACCCCAGAGCATCAGCGGTGCCTGTCTCCCCATGCTTGTCGCCCACCTCCATCTCCTCAGCCGGCTCCTTCTCCTGGGCGCGGGGCTGGACGTGGGCGGCAGCAGCCAGCCCTTCCGCCAGACCCTCCCTCTTCGGACCTGGACCTTTGCACTCGGCAATGAGGCCCGTCATCCTCTTCTTTATCTCGGTGAAATGCTGGTTGAACCCATTCTGTACAATCTCGTCGACGACGTACCTGGCCTGCAACTCTTGGAATTCCTGGCACCCAGACACGGTGATGTCGCTGGCAACCTGGGCCGGCACGGTCGGCGGCCAGATCGCAGCAGTGGGTTTCCCCGCCTCGCGCTGCGCCTCAGCCGCCGCGAGTTTCGCCGTAACGCTCACGACCTCAGCCTTGAGCTTGCCCCAGTCCTCCTCCAGCTTGACCATGCGAGTAGCCAAATGGATCCGTTTCTTCTCCAAAGCGCTGGCCTGCTGCAAGGTCGGAGATGCAGGCGGCTCTGGTGCGAGACTGGGCCACTTTGACAGCAAGCAAAGCCGCAAGTTCTTAATTCCCAGCGTCCACCAAGCTCTTGTACGTTTCTTTGATACCGTCCGGAAAGTCCCCTATTGCCGGCGAGGCAGACCCTTCGGCGTCCTTGGAGATCCCTCCGTGAGGCCCCAGCTTAAGGAACACGGCCGCATTGCACTGTTTGCACGGGCGTGCCGCCTTGCGCAGCCGGGAGTCCCACATCCAGTTGCTGCACCCGGGCGTGGCACATAGCGTCCACTGGCTCTTCTGCTGGTCCTTCTTCTTGCGATCATCGGCCCACTTCCACGTCATCTCGATGGCTGTTGCGCGAAGAACATGCTTTCCCCTCAAGCCTGCGCAGAGTGGTCAGGCTGCGCGACCTTCACGCAGACACCCACTCTGGTGTGCCGCCGTCGAGTGGCACAAATGAATGCAACATGCAACTTCACCCGACCGCTGCCAGTGCGGCAGGCCTGTGCCAGATGGTTTGAAAGAGGAGGAGGAGCAGGAGGAGGAGGAGGAGGAGGACGAGGGGCGAGGACGAGGACGAGGAGGAGGACGAGGACGAGGACGAGGAGGAGGAGGAGGAGGAGGAGGACGAGGACGCGGAGGAGGAGGAGAGGAGGAGGAGGAGAGGAGGAAGAGGAGGCGGAGGAGGAGGATGCCAGATGTCGAGAGAACTTCCGCGTAGGGGAAGATGCCAACATAGAGCGCACGAAGTTCCGATGGGTCGTGGGTGTCCGCGGGTGCCAAGACGTATCTTCCCGAGTTGTGCCGATTTCTGGCTGAAGGAATGTTCACGGCTGTCCGACAGCAGTTCGCTGGAGACCCAGAGCCGACACCTTTGGTGTTGGAGGAGGCTCATCTTCCTGTCTTCGTTCCTTGGGACCCGTATCTTAATTTCCAGAGGACTGGAGGTTATCATTTGGTTTCCTTATCTCACTCCCGACGCGGTCTAGGTGTGCGCTGCAACGTAACTCTAGCAGTAGCCTCTGCGGTCTGTGCGTGGCACAGGAGCTCGCAGTACTCTGGTGAATGCAGTTGTTTTCGTCCCATGGGATCCGTAACCTGAGGAACGACCCGAGCAGCTTCTGCGACGCCTCAAACGTGATTGTTTTGTTTGTGCTCTCCCCAGGACTGGGGCTTCAACCGCATGTTGGGGGTTATTCGAACTGGGCTCTGGTACGGGGGGGATCTGTCCGTTTCGCCCACGAGGTGTGTGCCCGCTGCCGCGATCGCCGCCTGTCTCTGCCACTCTGCCGCCGCGCTCTCTCCTTGTCTGCACAAGTGACACATTGACCCAAACCTTTACCGGCCGACCGATCGAGGAGGAGGAGGAGGAGGAGGAGGAGGAGGAGGACCAGTGTAACCCCCAGACTCAGCAACGGTGTTGGAATGTACCCTTCCTCCAAATTCCCTTCTCATAGGCCCCTACAGGATTCAGTTTCACTGAGGGGAGTGCGCCGTTGGGTGACAACCGCGTGGACGTCTAGACGAGTGCCAGAACACCTTTCTCAGGACATCAGCGCCACGAGCCAACGTGATTGTTGCGTCTTGACGATCTTGAACCGCGCCACAACACCATTCCTGGGACATCAACACCGCGAATCAACGCAATTGTGGTGCCTGACTGTCCTGAATCGATCGGGAGCGCCATCTCTATGATGCTAGCCATATGCATCCGTGAAAATTTGGCAATTTCTTAGTGCGAATGTGCACGGCGCTAAAGAGAACGCCACATTTTGAAAACGGAGCCGCCCTTCATCCGCGAAGTTCCTGCAACTTTGTAAAGCGAATGTGAGTGGCGGCGCTGAGGCGAGAGCCGCGTTTTGAAAACGAGCCGCTTTCAATGCGTGAACTTCCCACCGTTTTTGAGACGACTGTGCGCGGTGCCAAGCGAGAACCACATTTTGAGAACGACCTGTCCTCAATCCGTGAAGCGCGTGCAACTGTTTCAGACGACTGTGCGCGGCGCTGTGGCGGGAGCCACATGTCAAGAACCATCCGCCCTCAATCCGTTATTCATTTGCAATGTGTTAATGCGAATGCGCATGGCGCTATGGCGACGGCCACATTTTGGAAGCGGCCCGCTTTCCATCGGTGAACATGTTGTAACTTTCCAGGCTTCTGGCTCATGCGATGTAAGGAAGTCTCAGGCGACCTGCCCAGCCCGCGTTTCCGACTTGCCTCGGGGTGCGACAGGGGGGAATTATTCATGAGGGGCTGGGGAGGAGGAGGAGGAGGAGGAGGAGGAGGAGGAGGAGGAGGAGGGAGGGGAGGAGGGGGAGAGGAGAGGAGGAGGAGGAGGAGGAGGAAGGAGGAGGAGGAGGGGAGGAGGAGGAGGAGGAGGAGGAGGAGGAGGAGGAGGAGGAGAGGAGGAGGAGGAGGAGGAGGAGGAGGAGGGGAGGATGAGGAGGAGGAACGGGAGGAGGAGGATAAGATGATGAGATGATGAGAGGAGGAGGAGGAGGAGGAGGAGGAGGAGGAGGGAGGAAGAGGGGTAGCAGGACGGGGAGGAAGAGGAGGAGGAGGAGGAGGAGGAGGAGGAGGGCGAGGAGGAGGAGGTGGAGGGGAAGAAGGAGGAGGAGGAGAGGAAGCCGAGAAGAGAGTGATACAGAAGCAGAGAGAGAGAGAGAGAGAGGGAGAGAGAAATGGAGAAGGGAGGCAGAGAAGAGGAGTGAGACGCAGAGAGGGAGGGAGCGAAAGAGAGAGAGAGAGAGAGACACCACAACACATAGAAATAGAGAGAGAGAGAGAGACATAACAGAAAAAGAGAAAGAGAGAGAGAGAACACATACAACTAACCGATATGCACAGGGGTACCTCGGAGGACGTGGGTAACGACGAGAGAGCGAGGAGGAAATGCCTTTCTCAATGCTGCGTGCTGATTGCAATTGGGCCGTGATAGGGCTGTTTAGAAACATTCGATGACTACGAAAAATGCGATCGGAATCCGCGTTAGGGCGTTTGGGGAGCCTCTTGACGGCTTCTCGGAGCCTTTCGAGGGTATCCACTGGGGCCAGTGCGACCTCTTGGGAGTTCCATTCGAGATCTGGAGACCTCTCGGGTATGTTCGGGAGCCTCTTGGAGCTCTCCTGGGGGTCTCGTCGGGGCTCCTTGGGGGTCTTGTGGGGGCTTCAGGGGGGCCTCTGGGAGATTCTGGACATCTCTTCGGGGCATCTCGGGAGATCCGTGAGGCGTTTCGACAGATGGCCGTCTTGGAGCGATCATGAGAGTCATTTCGGGCCATCCTGGCCGCCCTGCAAACCAGAAAGGCCGCAATGCGTAAAACATACAAGACGCGTGAGAGTTTGATGATTGTGGCTTCCTGGGGCCATCATGGGAGTCTTGTTGGGGCCCTCGTTGGCCGCCTTGGAGGCCTGTTGGAGGCATTTTGACGATATCTGGAATCGCTTGGGGTCGATCTGGGGCTCTCGTGAGGGCATGTTGGGGCCGTCTTCGGCTTTTCAGGCAAACTCGACCGATTAGGAACCATCAGGATTCCTGGAGCCGTCTGGGTGATCCCCGCCCCCCTCCCCCGAACCAGGGCCAGGGAGGGCCAAACGCGCAATTTTTGACCCGTGGGCGTGACGATGAGGGGGGGCAAATTTCACCCCCCTGGAGACACCGAGGTTGTCGGCGGGGAGTTTGCTTCTCCCTCCTTGCGGCAAAGGAATGTCGATCGAATTGCGAGCAGCTGCCTTGCAAGTCGCTGTATGCCTTACATCAGGCGATCCCAAACATGGATTCATGGGGGCGTGGATTAGCGACGGGTCCCGTTTTCATGGGAAATCGCGGGTTTCCGCCGCCCAGCGAGGCGGCACCGGCCGCATTTTGGGGAGGGCGCCTCCCCCGATCCATGCTTGCGCGCCCCCGAGTTCTTACGACAGCCAAGAGTCACACTAAGAAAAACGTGTCTCCATCTCAGCACGGCGAGGGGGGGCAGGAGGTCGTCCACCCCCAGCCTGTTGCCCCACCCCCGTGCAGCGGCGCTGCCACTGCCCGGGGCGGGGCGGCGCCTCCCGGGGGCGAGGTGCCGGAGGCGGAGCTGCTCCCGCGGCTGGCCGCCCGGCGGGCGGTCGTCGACGCGGACGGCACGGTCTACGAGGCCGGGGCCCCCACCGTTCCCTGGGACGGTGAGGAGGGCAGTTCCCGCCAATGCTCAGGAGAACACGTGGTTAGGAATTCCTGTGCACGCGTGTGAGATGTGAGAGTGGCCAACGCGTTGCTCGTCGCAGTACGAGAGCTCATCATAGCGTAGCGTGCGAGTCTTTGAGCTGATACCGCCCCAACTGAACTGAACTGAACGGTCAGGAGGGGGAGGGGTTCTAGAAATATGAATTACAGTGGGGGCGCGCATCAAGAAACCAAGTGCTTGTCGCCAGGGTATTATCCTGGGTTTCTTGGATCCGCGCGCTGCGCCCTCGGCCGTTGAGAAGCTGCTGCGTTCAGGGTGCCCCGCCTGGGCTTCCCCCCAGTCGCACTTTCCGCGCGGGTCTTCAGGGTTGGGTTTCTTGCGAGGGTTTCTTGCGAGGGCCCCCACCATTCCTAGAGACGGTCAGGAGAGGGAGGGGTTCTAGAATTAAGTCGGGCGTGTCCCTCTGCAGGGGGAATATTCAGAAATTGTCAAAAATAGCCCGGGCACGATTTTTCGATCATTTTCGTTTGTTTTATTGGAAGGGAGGGGGGCATGTTTAATTTTTTGCCCCAAATGCGCCTGTACGGGGACATGCCCGACCTAGTTGTAGAAACATCAATTACAGTCAAAACGCATCATAAGCATGAGCCACTTTCCAAGGATACCCGTCGGTTGTTGAAGGTCTTTATTTTTAGATGCTCAAGTGCCAATCCACGTTTGGCGCTTTCCTACCTTAGGAGTCGAGGGCTGCTCCCTCTACACTCCTCTTCAGGGGCGGGCGGAAGCCCAATCTACTTTCAACGCCTTCGTACATCCTGTTTCTACCCATTTCTTTCGACCAACGTGTAACGCTCGCATCCTTGCCTTTCGGCCTGTCCTGGCTCTCGGTCTTTGTCATTGGCCGTGGTCTTCCAACTTCGGCCTCGACTCTGGGCGTCCACAGGCCTTGGCATCCGCGTCGCGCATCCTCGCAACACGGTCGCGCTGCGCGGCAATCCCACCAGACCCGCGGCAGCATCCCTGACGCGCCCCACCGGTGCCGGTGTCACAGAGGCCGACCCTCGAGGCCGCCCCCGATCCCGCACGTCCAGCGGGGCGGCGCGCCGGGATCCAGGAGCGTACTGCTCCTGGGCTCACCTCAGCAGGGCCCCGTCGTCCTTCTCCTCGGCCCCCGTCTCCTCCCTGCTTCCCCCCCTTCTTCCTGCTCCTCCTCCTCCTTTTTCCTCCTCCTCCTCCTCCCTCTCTCTTCCTCCGCCTCCCTCGCTTCTTCTTCTTCTCCCGCGAGCGCGGGCTCCTGGAGCGGGCTGCTCTTGGGTGCCCCCCTGCGGGGGGGCCCGTTCTCCTCCCCGGCTTCGGCCTTCGACCTGCGGGCCTCTGCCTCCGCAGGTGGCAGCGGCCCTCGCCCCCCCACTGGAGTTATGTCGGGCCTGTTCCCCTACAGGGGGAGCTTCGACGAAAAATAAAAAGATACCCCAAACATAGTCCAAAGATAGTCCAAAACTAGTCCAGGGACTATTTTGCTGCATTTTTGGGGTATTTTTCATTTTTCGTCGAAGATCCCCCTGTAGGGGGACACGCCCGACATAACACTGGAGCGCCGGTGGGGGGGGGGGTAAAAACTAGACCCAGAGGTAAAGAGAGGACAGGAAGAAGGGATGCCCGAACGGCGAGGACGACGAAAGATGCCGAAGCACCGAAGGGGGACGGAGGGAAGGCGAGGCTATCTGTGGTGCGGTGCGTGTGCTGGCGGGGAGGTGGAGGTGCACGCAGATGAGCTTCTCGCCTTAGTCAATTGCCGCGCCTTCAGCTGTGTCGGTTGTGTGGAGACTGAGTGGTAGATGCTGTCGCGCTGATCGTGTCGTCATTGGAGCAAAACTGGTAGAAGCATGGGAGCTGGAGAGATGTGACGCTGGGAGGGGTGGTATTGGTGCTGGTGCTCCTCACAGTGAGAATGGCCCGTGCCACGGGTCCTGGCGGCCAGCATTGGGCGGGGGGTCGTGGTTGCCAGGCTCATTAATGAAGTCGTTGACACGGAGGTGGCTGCTCCCAGCGCCCGGGAGCCATTCATCCTTTGGGGGATTGCGGAGGGTGGAGGCAGCGTCGGTAGGTTGAGTCGGATTGGTAGGATTAGAGACGGTGGTCATGGTTACCGCCGCTGGATCCCGTGCCCGCAGCTTGGCTGCTGTTGGACTCGTTCTTGCAGGTCCGACGGTACTTGGTCCTCTCGTACATGATGTCGTATATTGCCTTGTGGTATTCGTTCAAGTCCTCCGTGTCCATGGTGTGGTGCAGCTCGACAATAGCGTCTGTGATGCTAGTGACCTAGGCCTTGTACTCGATCATGCGGCTTTTGTCCATTCTATCCACGCTGTTTCGCGGTGAAGCGGGATCCTCTCCCTGTTCGTGCGCTTGGTGCGTCGTTTCGTCCTGTGTCCTTTCGCTCCAAGCCCAGTAGCCCGTCGGTGTCCAAGCTCTGGGGTTGTGCGGTTGCTCGATCCATGTTATGCTGATGTGTTCGCTTTGTTGATCGGCAGGCAGGTGTTCATGTACTTCTCTTCTGGTCTCCAGTCTTTGCATGCCTTGCTGACTTGGTGGATGTCGCCGTTGTGGTGGTCCATGGCCGTCCTGAAGAAGACCGTCTTCTACCGCACCGCACCATGTGCACGTCCGTGAGCGTCTTGGCTTCGATGTGCGCTGTCGATGCTTGGGATTGTCTCGGTGGTTTCGGTGTTGGTAATCGTGGGGGCGATCTCCTCTTTATTGTCGCCACGGCCCTTGCTGCCACAACTGCCTTCTGTGTGTCGACGGCCGCTGGATAGGCTCTGTGTGACGGCCTCGACGTTGGCGTCGGCGCGCGTTGGTGGCGGCACCTTTGGCTGTGGTGGTGGCAGTCGAATGTCCAGCGGCGTCGGCGTGGCCGTGTGAGTGTCTGAGGTGTTCGTGCTCCTTGGCGATGTTTTGCTTCCCTTCGCTGTCGGCGTAGGGCTTCACTTGGGGACACTGATGGGGGGAGCCTTGTAGCGTGGTCTCTTTGTGTCGGCGATCGGCGCGTGCGTACCGTCGACAGTTTCTGTCGTTGGCTCAGTGACCTGCTGTGGGGCTGCGGGTGCAGCCTGTAACTAACTGTGGCGCCTTGGGAGTGAATGCGCTCGTAGTGTGTCCTTTTGTCTGCTGCGGCTCGTTGGCGGTGAAGACTTCTTTGGTACGAGGGGGCGCCTGGGCGTAGACGTCGTGCTATTGTATGCTGTTACGTTCGATGATGCCGGTGGAGATGCACATGTTGCATGTGATCCACAGTTTTTGCAGATTGCCATAGCTTGACTTGTAGCTGGAGTCGGGGCGTCGGTGCTGGATCCTGGGTTGTGGTCGTTCGTGCGTTCTCTGTTTTGTTTGCCTTAAGTGGTACTAGTCAATTACGACTTGAGGCATAGCGTCATCATGCTTCAACAATTGATACCACGCACGTGCCGTTTGAGTCATATCGCCTGTATGCCTCAAGTGGTACCAGGCAAGTACCGCTTGATTCATATCGTCTGCATGCCTCAGGTTGTACCACGTGGACGTGTACCCCCTCAATCATAATATCTTAGGTGTGTGCCTCCACTGGTGCCAAGCAATTGCAGACTTAGGCATCTCGAACGCATGCCTCTGGTGGAACCCAGCATGTACCACTCCAGGAATCTCTTCAGCAGGCCTCGGTTGGCTCCGAGCAAGTACCACTTCAGGCATACCGCCCGTATGCCTCATGTGGCACCACGTAATTATACCGTAAGGGCTTCGCCCTCTGCCGCCGGCCCCCCCTCTCCATCAGAAGTTGATTTGTCAGAACTATACTGGGATGTCTGGGCGCCGACTTGAAGACATCTGGGAACATCATGCGAAGACGGCGGGCAATCAGCAAAACATGTTGAGATGTTGGAGTTGTTGTTGAAGGCTTCGTTGCCTTCTTAGAGCGTTTCCCGCTTATTGTGTATTGAACGCCCTCTTGGAACCACTGGGTGTTGCATGAGGGCATCCAGGGAAGGAGTGGCGCGTGGCACTATTTTCGACGACTTGCAGCGGCGGGTACAGCGCGGAATTCAGGAGACAGCGGGGAAGCCGAAAAGTGCTTCCCGAACACATGTCCCAATACAGAAAATTACTTGTTTTTCTGCTCTGGAGAGGGGATGGCGCTTCGGAGCAGCTTCCGATGGGTGGGTTCGTAGCTTCGGGAGGGTGAATTTGGTTTAATTTGTGGGATCGTGGCCTCGGGGGCATGACTATGGCGTCATTTACAAGGGTTCATGGTCTCGGGGGCGCGAGTGTAGTGCAATTTGCGCGGCATCGTGGCCTCGGGGGCTTCGGGCCCACCGCCAGATTTTCAAGATGCAGCGGGGGGTCCAAAAAGCGCCACCCGAACACAGACCTTAATCCAGAAATTGTTGTTTTCCTGCTCCGGAGAAGGGGTGACGCTTTTGGGCAGCCTCTGCGAGGTTGATTCGTAGCCCTGGGGGCGCGGCCGAGGCGTAATTTGTAAGGGGTCGTGGCCTCGGGGGCGCGAGTGCAACGCAATTTACGAAGGATCGTGGTGTAATTTGCGGTGGATCGTGGCCTCGGTGTCGCGAACATGGCGGAATTTTACGGAGTCGTGGCGTCGGAGGCGCGAATGTGGCGTAATTTGCGGGGGATAGTGGCGTCAGGGGCGCACATGTGGCCTACTTTACGAGGATCGTGGCCTCGAGGACGCGAATCTCAAGTATTTTTACGTGTCCTTGTGTGTGTGTGTGTGTTTGTGTGTGTGTGTGTGTGTGTGTGTGTCTGTGCAAAGCCAGAGCCTTAAATTAGTCATCAACCTCGCCATTTTCTTGGTATGATCAACCGAAGAACTTACTTTCTCTCCGCTTCTGCTCCTGGGAGCGCCGCTCGCGTTCCCCTCCCGCTTTTATCCTTCGCTCCCCTTTTCCTTAGCCACTCCCTGCCCCCATTCTCCGTCATTCGGTTGGCCCCAGAGGTGGCACTCAAGGCTGTTGTATCAGACCTCCCCTCCTCTCTTCTTCGTCGTCCCCCCCCTGCGTGACTGTCTAGACCGTTGCGGCACATCCACGAAAAAGCACAACACACATATGTTCTGTCATGTTCTGCTCGGGTAAGTTCTGTGATATGTTGGTGTCCTTAATTTTGTCATGATATTGATATGTTATGTTATGCGATTTTATGTCATGTTCTTGCTCTGTTCTGTCATGTTATGTTGTGTCATATTGTGTTCTGTCGTGTTAATCGAGGGCGCGAGGCGGGACGCCCGGGATTCTCGGGGCAACTTGGGGTCTGGCGCCTGCTGTATGCAGGGTGTGTTTTGTTGTGTTTGTCGAGGGCGTGAGGCGGGATAACACTCGGGGCAACTTGGGGTCTGGTGGCCGCGGTATGCAGGGTATGTTCTGTCGGGTTTGTCAAAGGGCGGGAGGCGGGATAACCGGGACACTCGGGACAATTTGGGGTCTGGCGGCCGCGGTATGCAGAGTGTGTTCTGTCGTGTTTGTCGACGGCGCGAGGCGGGATAACCGGGGCACTCGGGACAACTTGGGGTCTGGCGGCCGCGGTATGCAGGGTGGGGGTGGCCGGGAGGTCTGTTCTTAAAATCTAGCGACCCCAATTTGTCCGGTGGGGAACAGCACAAACAACACACAGCAACACGCCCAAACAACGCAAAAACACAACAACACACAAACACACACACAGACAACTACCGGACGGAGCATAACACAAAACACAACAAAAACACAACAACCACACACACACGCACACAAACATGACTAAATTATGGCTCTGACTTTGCACGCACTAGTGTCCCAGGGTCCCCCAGAAATTCTGGGAACCCTCCAGGTGGATGGTAACCAGGGTCCTTTCTGGCTTCCCCCCCTCGCGCGGACGTCAAAACATTGCAGTCAGAAACAGAAAGCAATATTGTAACATTGGAAACTGGAAGCTGGAACTGGTGCAGGGAGCAGCATATCTAAGCCTCGCAGCTTGATGGCCCCGCAAGGGGGCTGGCGGGTATTTTTAGCCGTATCAGCAGTCTGTCACAAGTGCCACCAAGCAACTACCACACGAGTGATATCGTCAGCCAGTTTCACACAGTGCCAAAGCGAACGCTATGACTCAAGTGCTACCCAAGAGATACCAATTGAGCCATACTATAGGTCGAAATCTCGTTCCGTGTTCCCCCTCTCGGGCCCCTCTTCGGGCATGACAGGGGCCTCTTGGATGTTCGTTGTGATCTCGTGGCTTGGAGGCAGTTTTGACGCCTCCAAGGGGACGAAACGACCCTGGAGGTCTCGGTAGCCCCCCCCCCACCTGAAGCCGAAAAGCACACGCAACAGGTCTCGACCCTCGATCCTCGAGCCTCGCGCCGCCCTCGCCGCCCTCGCCCTCGCCCTCGCTCTCGCCGTCGTCGCCGCGGCCCGCAGGGTGGATCGCCGCCGCCGCCGCCCGCGGCGGCGCCCTAGGCCTTCCGCGGCTAAGGGCCCCACTGGGCACCCCGCGGGGGCGCGCCTGGGGCAGCGCCGCCGCGGCGGCCCGCGAGCAAAAGGTGGGGCCCGGCGTCTACGCCCTCACGCGTCCTCCTTCTCCACCACCTACCCGTCCTCCTCGTCCTCCTCCACCACCTCGTCCTCGTCGTCCTCGTCGTCCTCGTCGTCGTCCTCCTCCTCCTCTTCCTCCTCCTCCTCCTCCTCCTCCTCTCCTCCTCCTCCTCCCCCTCCTCCCCCCCCTCCTCCTCCTCCTCCTCCTCCTCCTCCTCCCTCCTCCTCCTCATCATCATCATCATCATCACATCCTCATCCTCCTCCTCCCCCTCCTCGTCCTCCTCCTCCCCTCCTCGTCCTCCTGCTCCTCCTCCTCCCTCCTCCTCCTCCTCCTCCTCCTCCTCCTCCTCCTCCTCCTCCTCCCCCTCCTCCCCTCCTCCCCTCCTCCTCCTCCTCCTCCTCCTTCCTCCTCCACCTCCTCCTCCTCCTCCTCCTCTCCCTCCTCCTCCCTCCTCCTCCTCCTCCTCCTCCCCTCCTCACTACTCCTCCTCCTCCTCCTCCTCCTCCTCCTCCTCCTCCTCCTCCTCCTCCTCCTCCTCCTCTCTCTTCTCCTCCTCCTTCTCCTCTTCATCCTCCTCCTCCTCCTCCTCTTTCTTCTCCTTCTGCTCCTCCCCGCGGGCTTGGAGGCTCGGAGGCCTCGAGGGTCGGGGCTCGTATGGCTGCTGGTTGCGCACGGACGCCCCCGCCCCAGGTAGTCCTGGCTGGAGCATCGGGGCTGCGCGGGCAGCCACGAGCTCCGCAGGCTCCCATGTCTGGCCGCAGCGGCAGAGGTCACTACGGCAAGACACCGCACCGATGGGTGGCAGTCTGTCCTGCCTTGCTGTCCTCCTCCCGCTCCTCCCCTACTGCCACAGGACCCGACGGAATTAAACCTTGAACGATTGGGGCCGCGATCGGTTCAAGGTTGAACGATCGACGCGGTGTCAAAAGCCTTTGCGCGTGCCGACGCCGCGCGAACCTACCGTAGATCCCGTCGCCCTTTATTCGTGCGGTTGCACGAGGGACCCACAGGAAGTGGACTCTGAGACGGGCGATGCCGATTTCTCAAGTCCACGCCTGCGGTCTCAGAAGTCCCCTCCGCCGGCGTCCCTTTAGGAAACGCATCGTCCATCATCTTCCTCTGCCGCCAGACCGCTGAGTGGGACTGCTGCTGGGCTGCGCGCCGCCGGCCGCCGCTGCCGCCGCCTGCCGCCTTGCCCCTTCGCCCTCGTCGTCGTCGCCGTCGTCGTCGTCGATCGTGCCTTCACTTTGCTGCTGGGCCCCTTCGCGATGGTGGACAGAAAAAGTGCAGATCCTGCCGCCCTTCGTCTTCGTCCGCCGCCAGCCCTCCGCCTCGACGCAGCGCGCGCGCGCAGCGGCCGAGCGGGGCGGGAGCCCGCGGGGCCTCGGGCGGCCTCGGCAGGAGGCGGCAGGCGACGGCTGGCCGAGCGGCGGCGACAGGCAGCGGTTGCGGCGTGATCGGCGGCGGCGGCGGGTGGCCGATCGGCGGCGGCAGGCGGCGGCGGCGGCATGATCGGCGGCGGCGGCCGAGGTCTGAAGTCGGGCCTGACCCTCTACAGGAGGAGCATTCCAAAATAGTCTGGGGACGATTTTGGGTGCATGTTTGAAGAAAACGTATTTCTAGGGTATGTTTTGACCATGTTTTAGTTTTCGTCCAGCGTCCGCCGGTGGGAGGACATGCCCGACCTGAGCCTGGGCACGGGCGGGTGAGCGGAACGCGGCGCGGCGCGTGATCCCGCCAGCCCCGGCCCCCAAGCACCCCGCCCCCCCCCCCCTCCGCAAAACGTTTGGCCAATCCGCCCCTCAGAACTGGGCTCCTCCAATCTTCCTCCTCCTCTCTTCCTCCTCCTCCTGCTCCTCCTCTTCCTTCCTCCTCCTCCTCCTCCTCCACCTCCTCCTCCTCCTCCTCTCTCCTCCTCCTCCCCTCCCTCCTCCTCCTCCTCCTCCTCCTACTCCTCCTCCTCCTCCTCCTCCTCCTCCTCCTCCTCCTCCTCCTCCTCCCCCTCCTCCCCCTCCTCCTACTCCTCCTCCTCCTCCTCCTCCTCCTCCTCCTCCTCCTCCTCCTCCTCGCTCCTCCTCCTCCTCCTCCTCCTCCTCCTCCTCCTCCTCCTCCTCCTCCCCTGGGGGTTAGGAAGCACCCCCCGGGGGGCTCGGGGAGGCGCCCCCGGGGGGCTGCCCGGACGCACCCCAAGAGTCGAGGACGGGCGCCCCCCATCGCACATCCCCGAGCGGGGCCCCGGAAGTCTTTGCCCAGTCGGACAAACTCACCGCGTCCGGGATTGGGATCGCCAATATACCCCCCGTGAGCCGCTTCGGAGTCGTGGCGGATGCGGCGGGCTCCCGCCGCGTCGGCGCGATGGCGGCGCCCGCGCGGGTGTGCTGGGCCGGACGCCGACGGCTGCCCGAAGTCGGCCCATGTCAGCGGGACCTGCGCTGTCGGGAAGCTTGGGTCGTTCAGGGGTGAGCGATCCGCGCGGCGTCTGGAGCCAGCGCCAGCGTCGCCGCCAGGCGAATCCATGTCGTGCCCTTTCCAGGCGATTCCCAGGGTGCGTTCCCGCTAGAGTGTCCAGGCGGCTCCAGCCGCTGCGACAAGGAGCCCCCCTTGTCCGGAGGCACCAGAAAGACGCCCGGAAATTTCGGATCCCGGAGATGCGATGTCGTGTTTTTTTCAATTCTGGCTCCCCGGAAGTTTCGACCCATTCCCGAGGACCCGCTTGTCATCCTGAGCCGTCTTCTGACAGTCCTGGGTCCCGGCGAGGGCCCCTGGAGGCCGAACACTGCGAAAAACATCCGGCCTGATTTTTTCAAGACGTTGGATCTCCGGGATCCCAACTCTCTAGGCCTCCCAGATGGGGTCGGAGCAGATGGTATCGGAGGATCGCGTCGCGTCGGCGATGCATCGGCGATGCGGCTCGATGTGGGGCTCAATTCTTTCCACGCCGACTTCGCCGATGTATCGCCGACGTCGCCAGTGCATGGCCGATGCATCGCCGACGCATCGCCGATGCGGCGCCGATCCTCCGATCCCATCTGCTCGGACCCCGCTCCTCCTCCTCCTCCTCCTCCTCCGCCTCGCTCCTCCTCCTCCTCCTCCTCACCTCCCTCCCTCCTCGCGTCCTCGCCTCCTCGCTCCTCCTCCTCGCTCCCGGGGCTCCTCCTCCACCTCCTCCCCTCCTTGCCCTCCCACTCGCTCCTCCTCCCCGCTCCAAACCCGTCCTCCTCCTCCTCCTCCCTCCTCCTCCTCCTCCTCCCCCTCCTCCTCCCCTCCTCCTCCTCCTCCCGGCCCCATCCCCTCCCTCGCCCTCCTCTTCTCCCTCTCCTCCTCCTCCTTCTCCTCGCTCCCTCCTTCGTTCGCCTCTTCCTCATCATCCTCCTTCTCCTCCTCCCGTCCTTCTCCCTCCTGCCCTCTCTCTCCCCCTCCTCCTCCGCTCCCTCCCCCCCTCCCCTTCCCTCCCCCTCCCCTCCCCTCCCACCCATCCCCGCCCCATCCCCTATCCCTACGGGTTCCCCTCCCTCCCTCCCCGCCCCCTTGCCCCCTCCGCTCCCTCCCCTCACCCTCCCCACCCCTTCCCTCCCACCCTCCTCCCGATCCCTCCCATCCTCCGCCCGTCCTTCCCTCCCTCCCTCGTTCCTTCCCTCCCCTCCTTCCTCCTCCTCCTCCTCCTCCTCCTCCTCCTCGGGTCTGCCTGCCCCTATGGCAGTCGCAGCGCCCGCCCCGCGCGTTGCCGCGCCCGCTGGCCCGAGCCTGAGGTGCTTGAGTTTACCGTATCCGCGGCCCGCCCCGTTGGCCTGGCCGCCAGAGAGCAATCGCCCCCGCCCAGACCGCTCCAGCGCAGATCCCAGGACCGCGAGGAGGAGGGGATGGGGAGGGGGAGGAAGAGCGAGGAGAGAGGAGGGAGGAGGGAGGAGGAGGAGGAGGAAGGAGGAGGAGGCGGATGGTGATGATGAGGAGGAGGAAGCGGAGGAGGCGGAGTAGGAATTCACATTAGTTTCAGCAGCATTGTTATTGTTAGTCCAATGCTGATCATTCCAATTTGTATTATAATGTCTAGAAGTCGTGCCACTATTCGTTTCATTATTATTACCGTGCTTATCTACGAATAAGAATGCTCATGCTACTAGTAAGAAGGGTACGACTACTACTAATACTATTACTACGCCCAATACTATTTCTACTACAATTACTACTACTACTACTACTTCTGCTACGGCTACGACGACTACTACGACCACTACTACTACTACTACTACTACTACTACTACTACTACTACTACTACTACTACTACTACTACTACTACTACTACTACTACTACTACTACTACTACTACTACTACTACTACTACTACTACTACTACTACTACTACTAATACAACTACTACTACTACTACTACTACTACTACTACTACTACTACTACTACTACTACTACTTCTGACTACTACTACTGACTACTACTACTACTACTACTACTACTACTACTACTACTACTACTACTACTACTACTACTACTACTACTACTACTACTACTACTATAACTACTACTACGACTACTACTATGACGACTACTACTACTACTACTGCTACTACTACTACTACTGCTACTACTACTACTACTACTACTACTACTACTACTACTACTACTACTACTACTACTACTACT